TGTATAAATAATTTTGTCGTTGACTGTGTATATATATATATATATATATATATATATATAAAAACTTTAAGGAGTTAATGTGCATTGTAATATTCTATCTGGGGAGGGGTGGTAAACTTGAGGGCTGGCCTGGGCGGCAAAAACACTAGATATGCCACTGGGAATGTTTGTTTGTTGAATGGTAGGTATTGCCAAATGAATGTCATTTGTAGTAAACTTTCAGGAGTAGGCACTGTCTTGTAGAATTATAATTGAAGCAAATGAGTTGTCTTTGTATTATTAACGGAGACACCGTTTGGTGTGTTTTTTTCAGACAAACATGTTCAAAATTATCTGGTCTTAAATTTTTGTATGGTATTCTAGAGGTCTTTGTGGGTCACAAGGAATCTCAGAATCCAGTGTCCTCTTTTCTCAACTCATTGTGAAGGTTAAAAGCTCTGTTGACCTTCATCTCCCCTGACTACTCATGCATGAGTCAAACCATGATGAATAGTGATTAAACTGGTTGGTAACTTATCTTATATTTTTTATGGCTGGCTTACTAAGCTACTTTTTCAAAATGTCTCAGGTTTCAAATTCTGCCTTTCTGATTGGTTGAAAATCATCTTGAGAAGGAATTCTGTTCTGAAGCCATTTTTTCTAGTACATTTCTTTTATTTTTTATTACTCCTTATCAGATAGTGTTGCCTCAATCAGGCTTAGAAACAAGGCTTATCAAAAAAGTCCACTCTGAACACTTCACTGGTTGGAAATGCATTTACTCTAGATCAGTTTTTTTTTATTGGTTCGTCCAGGTGCACTAATGCACACTGAAAGGTAGCCAGATGCATGCCAAGTTAACAGAAGAATAATTTATGAATTATTTTTATATAAAAAAAAATCATTACTTTTAAAAAGTTACAGACACCAAGAATATGATTTCCATGTCTAAATCAAGGTTTTTCATTTGATATTTTAAACTGGATGCTAAATTACATACTCTTTAAGGAGTGGATAATTCTTTTCCTTTTGCCTTTCTCAAAGGATTTAAATCAGTCATTATCAGCCTAAGTGAAAACTGTACCGCTAATCCTCTTTGGGAATGCTAAACCAAAATGGCAACCATTAAAGGAAATTACAAGTAATTTTTTTTTAATATAAATATGAAGGTTATATTTTTTTTCTGTCAAAATCTAAAAGAAAATAATTGTGCTTTATTAAATTATGCAAGCAGCAATTCTCAAAAAAAATAAATTTTTTAGTCTTATTAAATTTTCCATATGTTCACACTCAATATTGCTTTTTACTGAAATAATATCTTCAATGATTTCTTTTTATATAACTGTAAAAAATTTGGATGAACTCTTCCGCCCAATTAAAAAATGCATACGCAATATAGAAAGGAGAGGAACATACCTCCAACAAATATTTCCCCAAAGTGTTTTAATAAAATAACCTATTCAGTAAAATATGGATAAATCCTGAACATTTGTCTACTTCCATAATAACATCAGGACAAATACTAGCAAAAGCCCGTGACAACACGGGAGGTATCTCTAAGAGATAGATCAAGATCCCATCATAAAGACTGAAAATAAAATTGACAAAGATTGTTTGTGACGGACGATATCTTAATTAGTTTTTTTTGTTTTGTGTTTTTTTTACAAAGGAAACCCAAACTCAAAAAAAAAACATTGTTTTCAATCGTTTATCAAGTCTATTGATTGAATAGAATTTTATTATAAACAATTGTCTTGTAAATGGAATTTTTAAAGCATTCTGAATGTAAAAAAAAAGAAAAGGTGTGGGAAGCAATAAGAAACACACCTCCAAAAAAAAGAAGTTTTGTTGAAATCGTTTGAAAAAATGTAGGGATCATGTTGAACACACAGATCACACACACACACACACACCACCTGGGTGGAATAATAAGTATAACTCGAAATGAGTTTTCCCCCTTTCATTCTTGCATATGCCTTTAATCGTGCCACAAAAATTGTGTTTCTTCAATTTTGGCACTGTCAGAACCCCCAAGACAGTAATTTTACATAGTCATGTGAAATTTTGTTGAAATTGGTTGAAAATAGGAACCGATCCAATATATAAATGAACAGACACACAACCTGGGTTTTATAAAAGCAATGATTTTAAAACAGGAGGTTGATTTTTTTTTCTTTGTAGTTCTTACTTTTAAAATTATATCAAGCAGACTTAAAATATAATGCAATGATAAAAATAAATGCTTATTTGGAAAAAAATGCTTATTTATTTTCCTATTTTCAAATTTCATGATTAAAAATAAAATGCCCTAAAAACTACAAGTGTGCCCTGAAGTAAAAAAAAAGGTTTACAATACTCTAATGGTGGAAATGGATAGAAATTGTCCTCACATAACTTTTTATCTTTATTGTGACAATATGTGTGTTTTTAAATTGTTAAATTGGAATATTTCTGTTCATTGAAGATTACATTTTTGACATATGATTATTTTGTTTTGTGTTGAGAAATATATGCTTAAAAGAAAATTGTATTAATTTTTCACTGTGATAGAATATCAAGTGTGGAGGATTTTTGGAGTAGATATATTCTGTGAGTGGATTACTGTTAAGAAATGTTAAAATAAAACTTTCTTTAGCTCTCAATGTCATCCATGACTTAATGAATTAATAGCGATAGGAACGTGATCTCCATTAGCAAAAAATATCATACAGTACCTAGATACATTAATAAAGCAGCAGACAAGTGGAGCATACACCAAACCCTTCCTTAGTAAAATTCTAGAAAAAGAAATGATAAAACTAAGTAAACAAATTTAATTTTTTAACATTTTAGAAAAAATAACTGATGAAAAAAACGCATACTGATTTATGGTAAATATGGCAAACAAAGAATGAGGACAATAGTCCACCAAAATGGAATTTTTTGTACAAGAAAAATAAATACCCTCCATCTAAGAAATATAGACGAAATTAGGATTTATCCATATTTTACTGAATATATTATTTTATTAAAACACTTTTGGGGAAATATTTGTTGGAGGTATGTTCCTCCTTTTTTATGGACATGCATGCATTTTTTTAATGGAAGAGTTCATCCAAATTTTTACAGTTATATAAAAAGAAATCATTGAAGATATTATTTCAGTAAAAAATTTATGCAATATTGAGTGTGAACATATGGAAAATTTAATAAGACTAAAAAAAATAATTTTTTTGAGAACTGCTGCTTGAATAATTTAATAAAGCACAACTATTTTCTTTCAGATTTTGACAGAAAGAAAAATATAAACTTTATATTTATATTAAAAAAAATTACTTGTAATTTTTCAGTGCAGTTTTGAAATTAACCCCATTCCTGTTCATCATAAGAGATTATTTTATTAAATAAAGACATATTTGCAGATTTAAAAAATATAAAATTTAATGTCATTTTCGTGTGAGAACAGTTTTTAAAAGAATTTTATTTTTTCCTTTTAGCAACTGCCACATCATTTTTGCTATGGATGTACAACAAAGAAATAATTCTGATATCTCGCATTGACTAACTACTATTCAATATTGGAGGACTATTATATTAATCTATTTATATCTCCTGTTCAGTTAGTATAAAAAATAAAATTATTAATTTATACTGTTTAATAAAAGTGTATAGAATATAAAAGAAAAAGACATTCTTAAAAACTAAAAAGTTAAAACTATTGGTTGGCTGTAAGGTTAAAGAAAATTTAATTTTAAACATAAATAACAAATTCTTGATTATCACACTGCTGGTCTTTTGTATTTTGTCAGGTTTTACTTTTACTCCCCCCGTCAAGCTTTTTCGGACAGGGGTAGAATTACAGTTTTCCCATAATGTCCTTTGACCTCACAGCTAGCGTAATGTTATTTTCATTCTGTCTTAAGTAAAAGGCAAACATTACTTTTAGAAAATCCAAATCCTTAAAGTTACTAATAGACTTCACTGACTTCAGAACACATCTCTAAGAGAAATATCGGATTTTAAAGAGATTTTTTTTTAATTTTGTTGTTTTTAAATTTTCCGTATACAATGACGGCGCGAGGAATCGATGAGTGACGTAAAAAAAAAAAGTAATGCATTAAAAATGCCTATGTTTATTTATACACGGAAATTATTTTTTTTTCATAGGGATTAGCATTCCATATTTCGAATAATAGAAGACATGTGTTTTTCGAAAGTTCGTGGCGGTACATAAAAGTGAAATTTTTACTCATATTTTGTTGTGGCTGTATAAAATTTAAGTAAAGTAAAACAACATTTTGCAATCCCAGTTTTTATTTTTGTAAAATAAATATTCAATTACAAAAAAAAAACAAACAAAATACCTGGTTATTTAAAAAAAAACAAAAACAGTTTATGTCGCCCAAGTACCTGTTTTCTACACTCACCCTTTCTTTTAGTGCAAAGAAGTAGAGGTAGTGGGTGGTTAAAAAAACAGGAGGAAAAACTGTCCCCCACCCCCGGGCCATACAATATGGGAGCCTCATTGCTCCACAACCCAATAAACGTGACTGCACCAAACTCTACATGAAAATGCAATTTCATTTGAAATTAAGTACTTAATTTGCAACCGCATATTCGTATTTTACCTGCCACTAAAACTCAAAAAACAAAACCCAAAACTTAAAAAAAAAAGCCATAATCAAGTGAATTACTTATTCTTAAATTTTAAAAATCAAACACGTTTCTCAGTTTCGACATCTTTTATTTATTCATTTTTAATTTTGTAAATTTAAAAAATTACACAAGAAAAAGTTAATTTCTTAAATTTTTTTCCATCTTAGATTCTGATTAAAATATTAGTATAATTTATGAATATATTTTTAAGACAAAATGAACAGTTATTTAAAAAAAATATAATGAAAATACTAACTACCAAACTATTGCTAAATTATGCCGTTCTAATTCCAAAAAAAAAAAAAAATAGAATTCGAGGTTGAAAGGAAAACTTGTGTAAAACGTCATCAAAAGTTGAGTACACACTTTAAACCTGAGCAGGCACAATGGCGACACTCGAAGAAAATTTTAGTTTGCAGAATGGCGAGGTAAATAGTTTAGCTTTAAATATTTGAGCTTTTGGTAATTTTTTTTAATATCGCAAGAGCTAATACTTTTCTTTTTCTTTTCCTCCTAAAAATCTATTATGGCCCCGATACTTAATCTATGTTTACTGTTTGAACCGGCTGATTTTTGCCTCGTCATCCATTCAAAATAAAAAAAAAATGTGTAGCAGCCACCCAAATAAAATATTTGAGGAGTATCTATTTACTGTTATATTGTGAAGGCGAGACCTGTGAACTTATATCTTTGTTTAATGGACAAATTGAAACTTTAGTTAATGTAAAAAGAATAGATTTACATTTTGAATATTATTTGGTTGGTGTGTTAAAAAAAAAAAACTAGCAGGCAAAAAGAATAAGTTTCTATTAGAAAATTATTTCTTACTTTTAAATTTCTTGTCTTTTTTTAAAATCAAATTGTAAAACTCTGCTTAAAGATATTCGCAAAATTTGTTTGCGCTAAAAACGTTTTAAAAATTTAATATAAGATCGATTTACATTACAAGAACCTAAAAAAATGGAAAGGTTAGTATTTAATAAGAAAAGAAAAAATTAAGTTTATTTTTTTTTTACGTTAAGGACATAATCAAGATCAGTTATTGTTGTGTAAAAAAAACAAACTTGATTCTAAACAAAACAAAATCGACTATCAATTGAATATCTCAATTTTTTGTAATGTTTTTTCCTCGTTATTAAAAATTAGCACTAGCAAAATTTCTGCAAATTATGAAGTTGAAACATCGTGAAATGGTCTCCAATTTTGTTTTTATTTAAGAGATTAAAACCGAATCAACATGTTTTAATACTGAAGTGGAATGTTTAGTTTATAACTTAGTAGTTTATTTATCTTGTGAAATAACCTAAGATTTTGTACTCAAAACTGTTAGACAATTTAATAATAAAAATTAAAATCAATGTGATTAAACAGATTATGAAATTATTATCTGAGGACAAACAAAAAACTTAAAAATATGCTTTTCTTGTTTTTAATATTTGTAACATTCATTTTGCCCTTGTAGTAACAACACCTGGTGGCAGTGTCTTTGTTAAACAATGGTAGACTGTTTCAAGATGTTTATGAAGCTGGTTGGTGAAAAAAAATCAACTCTATGAAACAGCTGAGTATATCAATAATAACTAGAAAAATATATTTAAAAACTCGTAAATCCTTTAATAATCATAAGGACCTAATAAAATATCAATTTTAGTGCTTATAGAAGTTCATTTAACTTCTATAAGCACCATCAGAGCTGTTTCGACTTTAAATCAGTATGATTTCTTATCTTCAGGATGGCTGCTCATTTCTAAGCATGACCATCTGCTCAGGCTTATTTGTGTTCCTTCAACATCCACAGAGCTCACCTGTGGTTTGTACTGTCACTATGCTGAGCTGACAGTATATGCTGCTTTGAGGACACACATGGTTTTGAATTTAGAGTTGTCGTTCTCCTATACTGGTTGTCAACCACAGCTAGAGAGGCTAATCTACCCTACTATGGAAGAATAGATGTATTCATATCTTTCCCAAGGGCGTTTGTGCAAAAGTGAATTTGACCAGAATTTGAACTTGGCTCACTAATTTCGCCTTCCAAGCATCACCCACGCATCCTACTTCTGTAATGACCAAGAAAAAGTCACAAGAGTATAAAACAGCCATTATTTAAGTACAATATCATTATTTAAGCTCTTGTAATAAATGGTTACATTCAATTTTTTATATTTTAAATATTTGTTAAGCTTAGTTTACTGTCCTGGGTATGATGATAAACTACATCCATGTACTGGGTAAAATGATAAAGTTATTCTGACTGCAAGACTTCTGAACAGGAGGTTTTGAGGAGTGTGGAACCACCTCTTAATTGCTGGTGTTTCCAGGTCCACCCTGGCCTGGGTTGGTAGCACCTGTTAGGGTTCCAGCTATGGGCAAATAGTTAACTCCCAAACTGGGGTCAAAACATATAAAAATAGATTTTAATACTAACAAAACATTTTTGTAAAAAATTATTACCAGCAATATTTTTTTTTTAAAATATTTACCAGTGATACATTTCTGGAAAAAAATATTACCAACAATAAAAATCTTGTCAGCATTAAATAACCCATTAAGGTTGATATGCTGTAAAACAAACCAAACCAAGCCAAGCTTAGTTTACTACAACACTTTACCAAAATGTTTATATGTGGTAAGGAATGGAAGTAGAAAATTGTGTTAGACTAACTAACTACAGGTGATGCGTCTACTTTGAGAATCAGTATTTGAAACTTGGTATTGCATGTGTATAAATGCTTATCAAATGGACTTAAGCTTTAAATTGTTTGGTTAAAAACCTTCCTATATTTTCTTTCCTGAGCCAATATACTTGTAGTTTTTATTATTATATTCTCATCCATTGTTGCTAAAATGTTTCTTCTTCATTGCCCTACTATATTATATAATGATGTTTCAAAACTTGAAAATTATCATGTCAAACTCCAATTGTCAAATTGAGTGCAGTACCACAATTCCAAAATTTATCTAATGAGCATTAGTACTGGAAGCATTGTCAGTGGAAGAAGGTTGTTTGTTATGGTAGGTCTTGCTATCTTCTGGATGACATGTGTTGTTATCCTGGGGTAGTTATGCCCTCAGGAGGCACTATAACAAAATAACAATCCAGCGGAGGTAATATGATATTGGTTGGAACAAAAGTATATAACATTTTTTAAATGAATTTTAAGTTCTAGAGATATTTGTCCATAGATTTATTCAACCATACATATGTGTCATTTTGTTCCACTACTTTTTGCCATTTTCAGTCAGTTTCCTGATTCCTTACTCTCAGAGCTTGGCACCTTTCATGTTTGTCCTATTAAGAGAATTTTATAGGGGTTTGAAACAAATTACAAGGTCAAGTGAGTACGGCAGGCGTCCTGATGAAAAATCCCATTTTCAGGCACTTTACATCAATTCCTTCTCTTAATCAGTCCAACAGTAATTATCAGAATTCAGCATATCTGCTTTTGTAATACACAATATGCCCTTCCAATCCCCACTCAATACATACCAGCATCATCAGCTTCTTTGGATGCAGACTCCTTTTACAATGCTTAATGTTGACTGATTTAATTTTTCCCAGGACCTTTTTGGTTTCACATTTTCGTAAGCAATCCATTTTTCATTATTTGTGATTGTTCTTTTCAAAAATGAGTTATTTTTATTGTGTTGGAGCAGAGAATTACAGATGGAAATGTGATCCATTAATTTTTTTTTTTTTTTTATCATTAAATTATGAGGCACCCAGACGCAGTAGCATTTGATGTATTCATGTGTTTTTAAATGTTTTACAACACACTCATATGAGATATATGGCGTGGTCTCTGTAATGTCTCGTGTGACCTGGTTTAATTTTGTTAGTATTTCAATTTGGTCATCATTGTTGCTACTGTCTCTCTAGAATGTCCTTGGTCTTTCAGATCAAAATTTCCATTTTTGGAACTAGCAAACCACTTAAGAATAGTACTCTTAGCTATGGCATTGTCGACATAAATAATACATATCTTCTTTTGCTGTTTGGACAGGGTTTTTTTTTTTTTTTTTTTTCCCTTTCTGGAAATAAGAAAGCATCAAATGACAAATGAATCTCATTTTTCTCCATTCTCACTTTTAACAAAAAACATTTCAAATTCGCAATCTACATATGAATCAAAGAAAAAGATTCTATAAAAAATTTCAATCAAATGTGAAACAAAATCATGCATTCAAATACCACTAATTGAAAAATTCTCTAAACCTTTGTTGCAACCCTAAATTTTGAAAACATTTGAGGCATCATTTGTGTGAAATGTATTTTATTACATACTACCTACCTACCACCTCAACATTGAAGACACATACACATGTTTATGATAGCAGTCTTCTACGGTAATGGTAATGGTATTCTTCAGTTTAAGTTGTACAGAAATTGTTTCAGGAATATGAAGAAGACTTCACTGTTTTGTTGTGGCTACCAAACTTCCCATAACCTAATCCCATTGAGCACTTAGGGGATGTTGTGTAGAATGAACAGGTTTTGCTCTGTAGAAACTTCACTATATCACTTGCAGCAGGTAAAAGACTTGATGTTAACATCCTGGTACCAGATTTCAAAGGATACATTTAGAGTATTTTTGTAGAGTCCATACCCAGCCCAATTGGATAAGAGCTGTTTTGCAGGCATCTGGAGGACCAATGCCTTATTAGTTAAATGTCTATTAAATTGTGTGTGTGTGTGTATATATATATATATATATATATATATATATATATATATGAACTTGCATTAACAGCCATCTAAGGACATTATTTTCTTCCCTCTTAATAAATTAATATGATGAAAAGCTTATTTAATTAGCTTTGTTAATTCAACAATTAAAAAAAATAAATTTATATCATAATTAATTTAGGTGTTATTATGATCTATAAATTTTAGTTTTACTGATAGTTTAAAATCAGTAAATATTTATATCTCTTTATCATTACTACCAGGAATGGAAAATTAAGTTTTAAACAAACAAAAAAAAAAAGAATTGTTTTTGGAATCAGAAATTAGGTTAAAAATTCTCCAATTCCAATACCCCAAAAGTTCTTGATTCCAATTAATCATCCCATCACTACTTATTACGAACTATAGAAGCAAATTTAAACTATGACAACTTCTGAAGATCTATCAAAAATACAACACACACTCGTACATCTACAAAGAATTATGATTCTATTTTCCAATGATACCAATTTATATCTTATTTGATATAATCAATAAAACTTGTACTGCTGTGAAGATTATTGCCTAATCCAATGATTTCCCTAATGTTACGAATGCACACATCTCTAAATTGTACACCTTTTTCAGTGGACACAAACCAATTTGTTATAACCTGATACTATTGATATACACAAAGCTTAGAGTATTATTGTTGCAATATTATATATATTAAGGTAGGTACCTCCACGAAATCACTAAAAAAAG